TCCTTTTTCTCATTAAAACCTAAACCACTCTTATATCCTATCACTCTTCCTGCTTGGAGAATTCCATCTAATATGTCAGACCCATTATTCAACATCTTGAGAGATTAGACCATTCTATCAAGATTTGAATTTAGAGAGGACACTTCACTTTCCAGATCAAAAATAGTTTTAAGATGCTTTTCCCTTTCCTCCTTCAGCTGAGTTATAAGGGCTTTTTGTTTCTTCCCTTCAGGGTATACTTATGCACTTCTGAGACATAATTCTTTGTATGAAGCAACTAAATCATCAAAGGTTAGTTCCCCATCACTAGACTCTTCATCAGATACATATTTGTCTTTCAATGCTTTCACATATTTGGCATATTCTTCAAGATCACTCTCTGAGTCCTCTTCAGACCAAGTAACAAATAGATTCTTCTTCCGTTTCTTTAGATATGTAGGATATTCAGTTCTAATGTGACCAAAGCCTTCACATTCATGACATCGTATTCCCTTCCCTTGATAAGATTTTTCTTCAGCCCTTTTTCTTCCCACCTCATTTGACTTATAGGTGTCAGATGAGATGTTCTTGATATTTGACCTTTGGTTCCTGTCTATTCTTTTTATCACTTTATTAAATTGTCTTCCAAGCATAGCTAGGGCAATTGATATTCCTCCATCTGTATCCAGATCACAATCCTCTTATTCATCTTCAATATTAGATACAAAGGATGTGCTTTTGTTTTTCTTCTCAGATCTTTCATTTATGCTTAATTTAAATGTTAGAAGGGATCCATAAAGTTCATCCACTTTCATTTTGTCAATTTCTTGGGATTCTTCTATAGCAGTTACTTTCATATCAAATCTCTTGGGAAGAGACCTGAGCATCTTTCTCACCAATGTGTCTTCAGGTATTTTCTCTCCTAAAGCACTGGAGGCATTAGTAATTTCAAGGATGTTCATATGGAAGTCATTCATACTTTCATCCTCAAATTCTCAAATTTTATGGTGAGCAGCTGAAGTCTTGACATCTTAACTTTGGATGTGCCTTCGTGAGTAGATTGAATAATTCCCCATACATCCTTAGAAACTTCACATGTATTCACCAATCTGAAAATATTCTTGTTAATTCCATTAAATATAGCATTCAAGGCTTTAGAATTTCCAAGAACAATTCCATCTTCTTCCTTAGACCAATCTTCTTCAGGCTTTAATTCAGAAGTAGGTTCTCCATTCTCTTCCAATTTGACAGGGTGTTTCCATCCTCTTAAAACAGCTTTCCAGACCCTGCTGTCTAAGGACTTTAAAAAGGCAACTATACGTGGTTTCCAGTAGTCATAATTGCTTCCATCCAGAATGGGTGGTCTGTTCATAAATCCTCCTTCCTTTTCCATAGTACCAGGAAGTATCTTCCCTGGATCTCACCCAGATAAAGAGCAGGATGCCTGCTCTGATACCAATTGAAATCCTGGTATCAGATATGTTACGTTGAATGAGATGTCACGACACAAATATCTGTTTGCAAGTAAGGTGCAGTAAAATTAAAAGCAGTAAAAACACAAGAGATTGTTCACTCAGTTCAGTGTACAACAACACCTACTTTGGGGACTACCAAGCCAGGGACACGTTCACTAAATAGTATCAATTCAAAGACCCTCAGTAAACAACCAGTTTACGATCTAATCACTTAATCACTACCCAAGCTAAACTTCTACCTACAACTCACCTAGATATAAGGCCATCCTCAAATCCCTTCAATCACTTACAAAATTAATAAGTTTGAAACACTTCAATTATTCAATGCTTAAGAGTTTATGAATGATACACAATTAACAACCCAAATAACAACTCAAGTATTTAAACTAATACTTAGAGTGTATTACAAATAAAAAGCCTAAACTTCTAATCAGAAAGAAAGTATTTTTCTTCAAAAGTTGCTTGTCTTTGAATAAGGAAGCAAGTCCTTATATATGCGCAGCTTTGGGCTTGGGCTTAAAAACAAATATTCAAATCTTTTGAATATTTCCATAAGAATAGGCCAAGATAAAATTATGCCATTTGAAAAATATTCCTCCATATTTTTCGCAGCCTGTAGTTCACAAATCCTGAATTATGCCACGCATGAAAATAGGAAACAAAAGACTTAACTGATGTTGGGCTGAGATCAATTTAGTAGGCAGATGTCAAGACATCTGCTTTGACATCATTCAAAACAGTTTTGCTCCAAATGTTAAGACATTTAACAAAACATTAACAAGTCATTGTTTTACTAAAATTGCTGTCAACAAACACTTACAAAAGAATTCACCAATAAACATCTTCTTTCCCATCAAAAATTAATATTGTTATGAAGTGAGATCGAAAATGAAAGCACCAATTATTAGGATGCTAAATTAGAACCCTAACAAACTGTAAAAATAACTATAAATCTAGAAAGACATTAAAAGCAAACTAAGAAAATAGAGGTAAAAGATAATTTTTTTATTTCATTGATTGATCTCAAATGTCTCTACGAGACTACATTATATAATACTAATAATAGATAACAAATCTAAAAGTCTAACAATTATTAAAAATCTAAATACAATTAGAGTCCAATAACAATACTAATAACTAATATTATAAATATTTTTATACCTCTCTATCAATTTTTGTATTTATTTATCATTTGAAGGTGTGTATTAACATATAATATGAACAAACTGGCTATGTCTTTTGTGTCAATGATTGGAAGTGATATCACTAAAGACTCCCGTATCATCAAAATCTGCCTCTGTCTTTTGTGTCAATGATTGCCAAAAAAAATTTATATAATGTCTTCGAATAGGATTTTATTAGTTTTATAGCTAATGGATATACAGCAAGCTTCTTATATGGTGTTCGCATTACATGTTATATAGGTTGAGATTAAGAGAACTACGCCATGGAGAATTGTTGGCTCTCACAATTTTAGGATTAAGATATTTTTGTAGATTGTATTTTCAAGGTAAACAAAGTTCATTCATACGGTAATTTGTATTTTCAAGTGCTTTGGCATTTAAACATTTTAACATGTGTTTATTTTTTATCAAGCTAATAATTTATTTCAAAATAATTATATAACCTTTAATATGCTTTTTGTATGTTGTATCCTTCAACAAAGTAATATACTTTCTCCACCTCTTTGATGTTGGTTTTCAAAATTTATAATATTAATTACTTGTTATATAAGAATTAATATTTAAATGTTATCTGAAAAATTATTTGGGAAGGTAATTATCATTATGAAGTTTGGTAAAGGAACTGACTGTATTATCATGACAGGTCTAAAAAGTGAATCATGTAAATGAAATCGAAAATTGATATGATTAACAACAAAGCAAAGTTTGTACACAACGGCGATGTTGTTTCTAGGTTTTGTGCCACATAAGGATGATAGCAACATCCCCTAATATTGATCCTTCTGATAGACTCTCATTGTGAAATTGAAATGGTAGTCGAGGGAACAGGATATGTTACATGCTTTTTTATAGGTTAATTAACTACAACATTTAGGCTCTCCAGCAACAATTGAAAAACGTTGCCAGAACTCTGAAAATCGTTGCCTAAAACAATAGGGGACGTTTTCTAGGCGTCTCCTGTGCGAGCGTTGCCTATTGTTTGAGGCGACGTTTTTTTATGTTTTTTGGGAACGCTTTTGAAAAACGTCGCCTATAGTAAAAGAATAGGGGACGATTATTTACGGCCTCTGAGACAACGTTTTTTAAGCGTTGCGTTGCCAAATTCGGCTACAATTAACAATCGTTGCCTTAAACCTGAATCAGGAAGATCATTTTTGAAGTGTAGCCATAGCTTATAGGTTGTTGTTTTATAGTGTCCACATAAAATATACAATTTTGCAATTATTATCAAAATAATATAGTCAATAATAATTGGCTTCAAAAATAATATTGATTATATAACTTAAACCATACATCCATAAAAGTTGTAATATAATAAAATCGAGTTCAAACTTTAATTCAAGATATAGTATATAGAGTACACAAAATGCCTAACGTAACAATATTACTTTTAATACTTTGAAGTATGACCCTAGTAAAATAACTAAAAACATAGTTCAGCAAAAGAACAAAAATCATATTTCAAGTTTAATGATTTCAACTACAAGCCAAAAAAAAGACATCATCCAACTCATTCAAGTTTGTCTTCTAGGACTAAAGCATCCAGATCGTCCTCTTGAAATTCGTTAGATATGTCATCCTCCATAAATTCTTCATCTACGTCGTCCTCTTGAAATTCACCATCTATATCCTCCTCTTGAAATTCATCAGCTAGATCTATGTCGTCCTCTTGAAATTCGTCATCTACGTCGTCCTCTTGAATTTTATCATTTAGGTCGTCCTCTTGAATTTTATCATTTATGTCGTCCTCTTGAATTTCATCATTTATATCGTCCTTTTCAACATCTTCATTGATACATTGCTGCATAAGAAAATAAAATAAAACACATTAACCATAAGTATTTTTGGTCCAAAGGACAATTAAGACATCAACAAGAATTAAACCTCGCACAAATAAAAACTAAACCATTCTAAACTGTAATAGGTGACATGAGCTTACTAGCAAATAAATCAATTATGAAAACCATTCTGTTTTTGGCTCACTATTCAGGACTTACAATAGCCTTTAACTGTATGTATGTATGTATGTATAACTTGTGCTATCCTTTTATGTTTATTTTTTGGAGTAAATGAACTCTGATGAACACTCTTACTTGTTGTATCTTCTTTGGTGTTCAGTATCATATGAATAAATTTACAGCATACATAGTGAGTGTTATCAAACAAGGGGGTCCCATAATCTTATGTAAATAATACATTAAATCATTATTATGAAATATGAAACTAATTACCTTTTTCTTCTTCTCTATTTGTGATTGCATCTTCTTCGTTGACTTTTGCCCGATTTTGAACACTTTCTTGTCGAGTTCCTTTTTTTGATTGATTTTGATTAGAGCTACGGTTAACGCTGCTGCCCGGTTTTTCACCATTGATTGACTTGGTTGCATCCATTTCCTTTGACTTTTGAAGATCTACATAATCATCAATCAACATTGATGGGCATTTTGGCACCCTGTTTAGCTTTTGAGAGCATTCAGCTTTTGACATCATTGTGTCCAAAGATAGAGTTTTCGGCACAACAACATGAAAACTTAGCAAATAAGTTACATACCTTGCTCTAGTCATGGCCACATTGGTTCTTTGCCGATTTGAAAGAAAACCGACTTTTCCACTCCCATTTGATCTAACAGTAGACATTATTATAATATCTTCCTCTCCACCTTGAAAATCGTCAATAGAACGAACGCTCACAGAGAAATCAGTATCAGAAACAGAAGTGTACTCCTTAATTTTGTCCTGGATTGCATAGACTTGAGCATTATATGGAGAGATAACTCCAATGCTAACTTTCTCTTGTGTCCTCTTAAACTCTAAAATTAAGAACATACACATATTAATTATACACATATTAATAGAAAACATAACCACAAATGGTAAAGAGAATAATAACCTTTTTTGAGGTTTTTAATCATCTCAGAAATGACAGCAACCTCAACCATGTTCATCAAGCTGTGTTCGCGGCCAGAGCCTCAATAAAGCTTAATACAAAGTGTGTGTTTTTTTCTTCTTATTAACGTAACTAATTTACCTGATAACTCTCGACATCATTTAATAAACGAGAAATGACCATTAATAGTTTCGTCAATGGTTCATATGGTGTTAGCCTAAGTTTCTTGGTTGGTTTCACAAAACATGAAGATGAAAGCACCATGAGAGATGCACCAACTGAAGTCATGCCTGTTTCGAGGTAACAATCAATAGATGGTTTGTGTCTATTTCTGCTCCAGTTTGCTTCTATGAGCCATGACAGGAAAGTCTCGTACCACTTCACAAATGAAATACATCTCACAAAGTTGATAATTATAATATTTTGTAAATTATAGAAGTTTTGTAACACATACTAGATCTTTAAAGTTGCTTGAGATATCATCAGAAGTTCCTTCTTGTTGGAGATATTTCCTAGAAGCTTCACTCACAAGACCATCAAGTGCATCAAATATAACTTTGTTGTGGCTGCTTAGGCCTCTTGCATCCCATCTAATATTTACACAAAATACATATATCATGAGTATAAAACAAATTCTTTGAAACAAATTTTGATTATGTACCTTTGAACTGCTTCTGTGAGGATTTCTAGTTCATTGAGAGAACCAACAGTGTCAAAGAAATCATCAGCAACTGTGATTATAATTGCAGTTTTAGCTATGAGTATTCGTACGTAAGAATCATGAGGGAGTGATGTTAAACTAGCAGCAACAACAAAGTAACAATAAGTGCTTTTTTCTCTGCCAAATCCCATATTATTCATACCACACTTTTCAACCCACCTACATTTCAAAATCAAATGTATTCTACTAAGATTCTTATGACTAAGTTTCAGGCAAAACTAAAGAATAGAAATTGAACTATACCTCTTAAGTTCCGTAAGCTCATTTTTGTATATCAATTGCTTAAACTCAAAGTTTAGAGTTGCAAGTTGTAGCAATTCATCGTTATAAAGACCTGATACCCTACAAATAAAGTTTAGAGTTGCAAGCTGTAGCAATTCATCCTTGTTGATCAAAATGAGAATAAATAAATAGAAGGCATTTGTAATATGTCCAAAATGAGAATATAGTTAGTACAACGGGAAATGACCACAACTGAAATGTTCACTCAAAATCCGTATATATATACATCAGGTGTGTACCTGTTGTATGATGTGTTTCCTTTCCATAAAACATTAGCTTCTGTTTCTTGTATCCACCCTCTATGCTCTAAATGATCCAACCGAGCAAACCATGGAAAACTCAACTCGTGCTCTATCTGTTGAAATAAGGCTCCTTTTCCTGTTGAAACGGTTTTCTCAAGTATTTTCCTAGAAAAAGTTCTAGCTTCCTCGAGTTCATATTCTCCACAGAACATTAAGTTTGAGGCTCTGAAGACGTGAAGCATTGCATTGGAGAAGTGCTCGTAATCTCTCTCAATCTCAGCTTTAAGTTCTTCATGATTTAGAAACCAACAAAAGTATACTGCAAATATTATAATACATAAACTTTAGACAGTCAAATTTGTACATGTCGTTTGCAAAACTAATAACTACCATACATGGTGATACTTTGAATCCATGTGTCCGTAAGAACTCAAACGCTAGAGCATCTTTCTGAAGCTACAAAGCACTCATATTCGATGCTTTCACCCGTATATCTTTCTCCTTGTTATATTTCCTGTAAAATGAAATAAAAATTAATACATACACAATAGTAATTCAGTCCAACTATAGAAACTGTTCAAATGGGTTTTATTTACCTATAAACTTGTGTCAAAAGCACTTCAATCTCTCTTACAAAGTACTGTCCCAATCCAAACCTATGTAATTGGTTAGCAATGCATAACTTTATATGGTCCTCATCCATTGGATATGATTGTGGAACTGCTTTTGGACATCTTTGTGCCAAGGAGCGTAAATAAGCTAGGCATTTTTTGTTTCCATAATCCATGAATGCTTTTGCGGTGGCCGAGGGAGATTGAAACAACGAACCATCTTCACTCAAATTTTTACATATATCTTTTTCATTAACATATGTTGGAGGCAGAGCTTCAAGATATGACAGTAATGGAGGGTAACTATGAAAATTCTGATCAACTTTTTCCCTACATATTCATGCTAAGATAAAAAATTTACAACAAATATTTATATATATAGGACATGATAGGATGAAATGAAAAAGTGTGTAGTACTTGTTAAGAAAGCATTTGCGACGGTTAATAATAAATGAAATGGTGTCCCTTGATGACTGTGGGAAGAGGAAATGTAAACCAACTATATGAGCAAGTTCAATCATTGATGGGAGAACAATAGCTAGCCACCGAGGACATGAATTGTTACATAAGTTTACCTTTTCCGCCGCACTTCCTGCATCCCTCGGAACTGTGTCTCCCGCAACAACCCTCCACTCCACCAGCTTTTGCAAAGACGCAACTGTCATCATCGCCTTCGGCAGATTGCGTAAACCCAAGATCGCACGACATCACCGACAACTCAACCACGACACAAAACCCAGACCTCTGGGACTCGATCTCTCATCCGCGACACCATCTCCAAGAGCCATTGATACCGAACCCACCGCGAAGCCCCATCTATTCATCACATAGCCACACCCAAGGCCACCAAAATCTGGATAGGAGGACAACACCGTCGCCGAATCGGGTTTTGATCTAGGGTTCATTATGTTGTTGTTGTTTTAGGTGTGAGGTAAGAGAGACAGAAGATGAGGGAGAGAACACGAAGAAAAAATGTGGAAGGGAATAATGAAATTTTTTTAAATATATATATATATATAAGTTTTAGAGAAATATTAATAATGTGTTAGAAAAATTCCTGTTTAATTGAAATATATATAAGTTTTAGACAATATATATATATATATATATATATATATATATATATATATATATATATATATATATATATATATATATATATAATTTTTTATTTTCTGTTTAATTGAAATTTTTTATTTTTAAATTCTTGTGTTAGAAAAATATTTTTTTTATATATATTAATAATGTTTAGAGAAAAATATTTGTTTTTTAGTGTATAAGTTTTGGAGGGAAGATTGCAACCAAAAATTTGATAATTCTAAAAAAATTTATACAACATTTCAGAAATGTAGCCTTTTATTAGAACTAATGTAACAATCTAAAAATGTCCCCAAAAATATTTTAGGGGACAATTGTCAAACATTGCTAAAGAAATAATATTTTAACGCTCTAAAATCGTCCCCAAAAGCAGTTAAGGGCACAATTAACAACCGTTGGCAAAAAAATAAAAGAGTATCGCTCCATAAACATCCCCAAAAGTATTTTAGGCGACGATTATCAAGGGTTGCAAACATATTTTTGACAACAATCGTAAATCGTTGCCTATATGAATTTAAGGCAACAATTTCTACATGTTACCTAAAAAAGTGTTGCCAGAGACAACAAATGTTGTAGTGTAACTTGTCACTTATATCAATGTTTGTTAAAAATAGAATTATAAGTGTGAGTTGTGTGAGGAAGTCTCACATTAGTTAAGAATACAGAGACTTGAGTATTTATAAGTGTAAAAATTTATACACATATCACCTTAAAGTTTTGGGTAAATATTGATGTGTCTCTCATAAAAGTGTGTTGCTCAAAAGAAAAATCCTCAAAGTTAAAAATACTACTCGTATTGACCCCAGAAATTGCAAGAATAAATAGTATCATGAGCCTTTGGTTCGAGTGAAGAGACCAACTTACTTGTATCAAAATGTTCATAGGAGGTGTCCCGTTAAAAGGTGTCAACGGATGTATGTGGATAAAAGAGCTTCCACTTGAGGGGAGCATTATGGATACACTTGTTGGAAATCCACCACAACCTATGGAGAATTTCTATCAATCTTGATGAACAAGATTGTTATCAATACACAATAACAAAGAAGGAATTAGGATTCAACAAAATAAGGAGAAGAGAAGATGATTTGCTACAGAGTTTCTCTCTGCCCACAAACTATAAATAAATTTTATTCTCTTGCAACTGTAAATTCTGTGAATACTCAATCTGAGTTGATTACAAAAAATAGGGGTTACTCCTTCTATTTATAAGGAGTTTGCTTGCTCCATAAACCTAAGCCCAAAATTATAAAAGCCCAAAATACATATTTTAGACCTAAGTCAAAATACTGTGTGAAGCTAACTGCTTCGACACTTCGACACACATAACTCGACACACATTAGACTTATTTCGATACAACCTTGTTTCTGTCAAGCAACGTGCTGCTTCGACACAAGGAATTACAATCTCAACACACCACTTAATTCATTGTGTCTAAGCTATCTACATTCATCATAACTCTTAGTCTTCTGAATACTTCAACCTGTACACCCTTTATCATGATGTCTATAATCTGATTTTCAGTTCTACAGTGTTCCAAGTACATGATTCCTTATGCTACCTGCTCACGAAGAAAATGAAACCTCATTTTTATGTGCTTGCTTCTACCATGTGCTATCGGATTCTTCGTCAAATTGATAACTGACATGCTGTCGATCTTCATGGTAATTTCTCCATGACTCTTCCCTGTAATCTCTTCGACCAAGTTCACCATTCATGTTGCTTGACATGCACAAAGAGAAGCGACTATGTACTCTGATTCACACGACGATAATGCCACTACTGGTTCTTTTCTCGAACTCCAAGAACTGGTGCACAACCTATCATAAACACATAACCAACTATGGATTTTTCGATCCTCAGTATCACAACACCAACTTGAGTCAGTGTATTCCACTAACTTGCATTCTTTTCCTTAATTTATTAATTGCAGGAAGCAAAATGCAATAGTCGACAATTCCTTTGAGATACTTTAGTATTATCTTCGTTGCTACTAAATGTGATACCTTTGGCTTCTGGATGAATCTACTCACCATACCTACACTTATACTAAGTCAGGCCTTGTCTGACAAAGGTAACTTAATGACCCAATATGTCTTTTGTATTGGGTTGAGTCGACATCATCTTCATCTAAGTTATTCGACAGTTGCAATATTGGTTCAGCAGGTGTCTAAATTGAGTTGCATTCTTGCATCTCAAATCTATTGATAATTTCTCTTGCATATCTTCTTTGATGCATCATCATGAAGGTGAGAAAACACTTAGGGGGGGGGGGGGGGGGGGGTGGGTTGAATAAGTTTCTCTTTTTCCTTTTCTTTTTCTTAAAAGCTCAACAATAATGGAAAGACACAGTTATTTTTATCTTGGTTCATTTGAACGCAAACTACTCCAGTCCATCCGCCAAGGTGATTTCGCCTTTCTTAACAAGGACTTAATTCACTATAATCAAACTGATTATAATAACACAACAACTGTTGTGACTAACAATACAATGCACAAGTAGACTTACAAGTGACTAACACCACTAAGACTTAAACTAGTCCTAGTCTTCTTGAGAAATCTGACCAAACTTGGTCTCTCAAGGAACAAATATAAGAATTAAATCTTTACAGATAGTGAAACAAAATGCTTCTTAGAAAGCTATATCACAAACTGTGATTTTTCACTAAGATTAGTTTTTGCCCAAAGTGTTTGTAAAATAATTTGTGAGCCCAGAATATTTTCACGTAGTTCTTGCTGTTTTAGATTTGTTGAGTGGTTGGCTTGCAATAAATGATCTTCTATTTATAGCATGAAGAAAATGACCGTTGCTGCCTTCAAAAGTGTAGAGCAATTAATGTTTGCGTGTTTGCTTGCAGTATTGCATTTTCCAATGAACTAGCGTAGACACTTGAGTGCATGTAGCCGTCTTTGCATTAAATGAACAAACGACACTTTGACAGAGCATGTTTCCTGAAACTTGACAAGACTTGTTAGCTTCTTTATTCTTTCAGAACTAGCGTAGACATCTTGCTTCGGAATATGCTTCTCAACTTGCTTCAGAATATGCTTCTCAAATCTTCTTATCAGCTCTTGCTTGCAAAGAACTTCTGATCCGCGCTTGCTTTGTAGAATACTTCAGAACATAGTTCACATGGAAACTTGCTAAGCTTTAGAAGATGCATTAAATAGTTTCTTATCAGAGTCAGCATCAGAACTTGCGCTAAAACAAATAGTTCTTTCATCAAAGAACTTCTTTATTTATTTTTAGCTCAGCACGTCAAAATGATTTTCATCTAGGAAAATACTTCAGTCAGAACATTATCTGAAACAAAGAAATATGTTCATCAGAGTATCAATTATATAAAATATATTTTGTTGTTATCATCAAAACTCTGAGATATGATCAGAACCAATCTTGTTCTAACAATCTCTCCCTTTTTGATGATGACAAAAATATTCATATTTAGAAATAAAATTGAACAAGAGATAAGAATCTCCCCCTGAAATAAATATTTCTATAAGAAAAACTTCCTGAGAATTTTCATCAGAGCTTTGAGATTTTTCTTCTAGGATTTCTTCAGCAAGTCTTTTGAAGATAATGTTCAGTTGAATTAAACTTCCAGAGTTTAGTGATACCTGTAAAATTCTTTTAAACATTGAAAGAAATATTTGTATTTTGTTAGAATGTTTGAGACTTCGTCCCATAACTGTTAATCAGAGATTAGATCAAAATACTCATTTTCTCCCCCTTTTTGGCATAATCAAAAAGTATATAAAAATAGTTGAAGAGCGTAAAGGTTTTAAAAAAGATTCAGAGGTACAAGCACTCATTTTTTCCCTCTTGTTAGTCTCATCTTGTTTGAACAAGCGCTCATGAATAGCTTCATTTTCCTTCTAAAGCTCATTCAGAGTTTCCATAAGAAGTGAAGTAGGAGCAGAGGATGAAGAAGCTTCAGCAAATACAGCCTTTGGAGTAGAAACCGTTGAGTTAGAACGAATAAATGTTGAAAGAAAAGTGCCCAGATCCACCATAAGAGTTAGCACAGATTCAGGTGCAGCCTTTGCAGAAGGTTGATTAAACAGAACTATTGCAAGATGATTTGAATCTTCAGAGGCATCTTCAGACTCATCTTCTGAAATGTCCATTTGATCAGCTGGAGCATTAGCAGTCATCAGAGTAGACTTCTTGTCCTAAATATCAGTAGCTTCTGACTGGAAGGCATGCAGATGTTTGGAGAAGTTCTCAAGCACCTGAGAGTGACATAAGTCTTGCAACTTCAGTGAATCAGCACCTAAGGTTCTTCTGAACGTTTCCCACATCCTTGAAACTCCACAGTAGGAAGAAGGTCAAACCCATTTTCTTTTAGGTTATCAAAATCCACCATCAATTCACTTATAACTTCTAAGCTATCCACTGGAATTAGAGTAGTTCTCTCTAGAATGATGTACTGTTCAGATTGGGTATTTCCAGAATGAATAGAGGAGGAAGCCATTTGAGCACTTAGGTTGAGAGAAGAAAATGGGTTGCAGAGAAAAATACACAGAGACGGTTTAATTTTGAAAGAGAATTTAATGATAATGAAAATTGAGGGGAAAGCGTGAGATTTGAGCAAATCATAACAGTTACCAGGGAACGGCATCAATAGCTTTGCACGCGTGACTTTTCAGAAATACAACACGTGTTCATCTCCTGAAGGTTGCATGGGACAGCTGTTTGATATAATGAACTACTGAACTATACTTGTAATGAAACGTTAGAGCATTTAAGAACTTTATATATAGCTTCTGCTGTAACTTCTCTTCTAACTTCTGAAGAGTTGTTAATCA